ATATATAGTATATAATATATGTATATATTTATAGGTATGTATATATTTATAATGCAGTGCTTTTAAAACAGCCGTGCCTGCTTCTTCAGCTCATTCCTCTTCCACAATGCCAGGCGATCAAACTCAGCAATGGTCATGCCAAACACCTGGAAAAATTCCTCTGGTGACAGGTGGCGCTGGAAGGGAGAACAGACAGGCAGCAATCACTAATGTGTGAGTGGGATAATGTGTGCACACCTGTGGAACTGTGGCTTTGCACAAAAGAACTGTGGCATCTAACTCATTATGTGACTTCAGCCTCACAACAGTAAAGGTTTGTAGGAGCAAGTGACCTCCTGTGCACTTTCGTATGTGCACTGAACTATGTGGTCTTCCACATGGCAATGACCCTCTCTAGTTTGCCATTGTTGCTGCAGCTGCTGAATCAGCACAGTGGCAACAGGGCTTCCAGATGATGCAGTTCCCTGAACTTTCCCTGCCCTATTCCTCCACAGCTGACACCTCCACACACAGGTGTAATACTGAGGGCCTTTTTCAGGTTTCTTGTGAAATCAGCAATGGTTGGATTGCTGCAGGATTATAACAATCTATCAGTTTGGTTCTCTGAATTCCCAACTTACATTTTTTTAAAAAAATGTATGTCTCTAGTCCCTTTTCTGCAGAGATAGGCGTAAACATATATCTAGTCAATGAAAATGGACAGACTTACTTTTTAAAAAATGAAAGCTAGAAATCCAGAGGATCTGATAGATTGCTGTAACACCATAGTGATCTAGTTTTTGTCAAGCTTCCCCCCCCCCAAAAAAAAAGCCTTTAGTGGCAAGAGAAAGAAATGACTGCTGTGGGGGAATGCAGCAGGGGGGAAATGCTGAAGCTGGTGTGGCACCTTCTGAAATGCAGCATTCCTTCCACATGCACTTTAGCTGCATCCCAGTGATAAATATCAGATCAAAGGCATTTTGAGAATGGATAAAGCACAGGGAAACCACAAAATGGCAACAGATGATCAAAGATGTCATCAGGAAGCTTGGTAATAATTTGCTGTAGCTCAAACCAGAGCAAAAAGCCCACACAGAAGTCAGCTAAATGTGATGTTAGGAGAGATGTAAACGTATCTGCAGATTATGGAGTACATAGCAGCCATTGGGGGAGGGTCCTCTCTGCGCCATTGCCCCAATATCTGACCATCCATTGATGCTGCTATGATGGGAGGACAAATAAAGGTGCCAGTAGAGATGCTGGCCGGTTTTACTCACCTCTAACCGAGTTCTGTCTACATCTTTGGGTAAGCGGTTTCTCCCCCTTGTCGTCACCAGAAGCAGCTCATAAGGGTATATCTACAAGACAAGGGTGACGAACAGACTGCTGAGCTGCAGTTCTTTGCTTCATGAACAAGGAAAGAAGGCTCTGGCAGGTACAACTTTGAGGGAAGATGTCAAATCTAACAAAACAGCATTTTTAAATGCTTAGATTCTTTAGTGGAATATAGGCTACCCTTTGCGTTTCTGTTTAGTGTGGACTAGACTACCAAAATGCAAGCTGACATTACATCTCAAGAGATGCTGCAGGAAGGGCCTGCCTGAATCATCTCTAAAGGATGCAAAGATGGTTTGGGTTCTTTCATGGCACTTTTCATGGAGTAAAGTTATCTCTTGGATCCTTTCTCTATATAATCTCTCCCACTGTCCCAGAATAATGAGTGAACCTGACACACTCTAGCCCTGTTCACAATGCATACACCATCTAGCCCTGCTCACAAGTTATGGTGAATGTATGTGTACAATATACACTTGAATCCAAGCCTTGCTTCTGTTGGATCTGCTGTGGAGCATGCTCCTTTGGATCTAGGCACTATCTGGCTCATTGAAAGGCACTGGTCTTGCATGAGCAGAAGTGCTTAGTGCCAGAGAGAAGCAATCCACAGCAGAGGATGGTCCCCCAGAACAGAAAAGGGGACAGCACAAGTGGAACCAAGGCTGTGCCAAGCCTCCCTATTTCATAAGGTATCCCGATTTTATAAGGTGTCCCACAGTATATAAACCATAAAAGGTGGCCTTCAGTTGCAGAATTTTGGAATCCACAAATGCAAAGGCTACAGGCTATACCAAGGCATTTATGGAGAAGAGGTCAAAGCCTCTGAATATGCCCTTATGCAGGTAGGAGCACTGAAAGCACACAGGGGTAGATGAGATTTTCTTCTTGCCCACTCTCCATGTGGCTTCTCTGTGGCAGTAAACTGGTGGCAGCTTTTTAAAAAACTCTCCAAAGTGAAAAGGCCCAAGGATCTAGACATAGGATTCCTGTGGAAGGATTACCTTATATTCTGTAATGGATGAGAAGAAAGAGAAAGGAGAGAGAGAAGTCAGTCTAATCCCTCTTTAGCAATAAGAGGATCTTTGCTATTTCAGGCTTTGTTAGAGCTATTACAACAAATAAGATCTTTGCTATTTCAGGCTTTGTTAGAGGTATTACAACTTATTTTCCAGAGTAAGGAACAATGTGATGCTGCAGCAACTGCAATAAGGGGCATTCACTATTTCCTGTGGGACTGTGATGTGCTTGAACAAGGGACAACCCTCTAAAATGAGTGGCATCTGACAGTCCTGAGTGAGGCATATGTTGTTCCTACAAGCTTCATTTCTACATGACCTGCCATCAGTCTTTCACATTTCCCAGGCTGTAAGGGCCATATGTCCTCTCCCCTTCCCAAAAATTCCAGTTCAGTTATTTATTTATTTATTTATTTTATTCAATTTGTATCCTGCCCTACCCTGCAAGCAGGCTCAGGGCGGCTCACAACATATGGTGAAACAATAAATAATAATTCATAAAACAACAACTAATTCATTTGAATAGGTCAGTTATAATATCTGATGGCAGCTTAACCATTCTAACTACAGTGCCTGCTGTAATAACATCATGGAGGGCACATTTCTTTCAAAGAAAACAGTCAGCTGGTTCTGATGCCAGGTTGGTATACACAGTGCCCTGAGGCAGATGAACAGATTGATTGCACTAAACAGGGAAGGCCTGTATCAATGTTATTCTAATTCTCTGGCATGAAACGTTCAATTCAGTGATTATATTTCCTTAATCTGCATAATGTACTGTGTTTCTCTTAGTCTTTGGGAGGGGCTGTGAGCTATACAGGAACCAAAGCCTACCCCCCAATAGCTAGAAATACTGAGCTTCCCTCTTGCTATAGAGATTTCACCATATACTTTTCTGCCTATTTTTTGCAAGCTAGGTTAGGAATTAGGAGCACAAATAAAGTCAAAATTAAGCACTTTTCAACCTTGTTGCTTTCATTGGGAGAGGCTGATGAATGTGTTTAGCTGTGTCACTAAAATTAATGGGATTTAAAATTGCTAGATTTTTTTCTGCTTCCAGCCTCCCCCCATAACACTCTGATTCTCAGGATGCTGAGCTCAGTGGCTTTCCTGTGCGTGCAACATACAGTCCTGGTCTAAGCACATGTCTGCCTAAGCTGAAACCATTATTGGTTGTTTAGCTTGCCATGACCATAGAATGGATCTCAATAGGACCTGTGCTTCAGTTTGTGACAATCAAGTCTGTTGACCCATTTTGTTAAAAAAAAAATTATGCAACTCCTTTTTCTAGAAGGATATGTTTGTTCCTTATCTATTGAAATTCTATCTCCAGCAAAACTGAGAAGCAGAACCCCATGAACAAGGAACATGTGCTGTGGGACTGCTCAACATTTCAAGTTCTTCCACTAACCTCGCATCCCCCAGTTGACGGCATTTGTGCTGTCGTAGTGGAAGAGTTCAGCACTTGGTGGCTGCAGAGGAAATGACAGTGCAGAGGAGAGAGTGGTTAGTGTCTGAGCAATTTTAAGAAAAATCCCTCTCCACTTGGCTGCTTCCATCAGTAGGCGCTCCGGAAAAGTTGGCTGGTTAACGACAGAGTTTTGAAATGTTTGCTGGGATATGGAGGAGGGGGACAATGAGTGAAACAGTCTGTGCAGTGGAGGGGCCTGGAAGTACACCCTAAAGATCTTGAAAGCAATCTCTTAAACCATTTTTTTAATGTCAACATAAGTAAAAAAACCTCTCAACCTATGTTTGGCTCCCAGTTCAAGAGTTTGTCGAGCTAACACTTTGCCAAGTGGAAAAGCAGATTTGTATTCCAAGTAGCTCAGGGAAGTATTGGTGAAGTTGTCCAGGTTTATCCTCCTAACAACACTTTGAGATAGGTTGGGTTGAAAGTGACACCACTGACTCTTCGGGATCATGCACTAACATGCTTTGCCTTAACAAGTATGTGTACACCAGCTAATAATACTTTGCACAATTGTTCTGCATTCTGTGCTCATACAAAGTGCGGCTAACAGCCAATGAAGCAGGAGTCCCCTATGTGATGCCTGTGGGCACCATGGTGCCAGCCGACACTTTCCCTGGCACCTGCCAAGTGTTTTTAGAAAGAGGGGGCAGAATTCTAAAGGTGCCTGCAGGCTAAAAAAGGCTGGGAATGCCTGCCATGAAACATCAACAGAACCCTGATTTCTCAATGTTCCTCTCTGCCTGTGCAGTTCTGGAGTTGTAGGCCCCATGTGGAGGGGGGGGGGGACATTAGTTCCAGTGAAGAGAAGGAAGAATGCCTCCTCCCTTTTGCATCAAGGAAGATACCACATACCTTACACTGATGCTTTGTTGGATACAAATCAATCTGTCTTCAGGTGAATCTTACCCAGTTCCCTGCTATATGACCACTTTACTCTCATTTAGCAGCTGTGTGTCAAAGATTGCACTGGGAGGCTAATACATACCAAGGGCATGTGATCCCTTGGCCAGCATTTGGACCATGAAACTGCTTTCCTAGCCCTGCTTTAGCTGAACTCCAAAAGCCTGGGAGCAATTCATAAATACATGAGGCACTGGTCACTCCTGCGTGTTCAAAAAGTGGTTGTGGCTTTCTATGTCCCTTATTCTCACCAGCAATCTAATCTGCTCTTCTTGGGAATCTCCAGCTTTTTCCTAACAGCAACTTTTGAGATCTACGATTTCTTGGCATGGTAGGAATTCATATAACCCTGGATAAAAAAGTCCCCACTTCTGAACCTGGAAATGAAGATTCTGAATTCAGGATTAGAGGGCTTCTAGTATCTATAAGTGATGATACTTACTTGAACTTTCTTCTCCTAAGGTCATTCAAAGGGTGTGTGCCTGCCTTTGCCAATGCAAATGTTAACCCCCTTGGCAGGGTTCTAACCCAATGGATCAGTAGACACTTACCCGGTGCAGCCCATTTCTTCTATAAGCAGGAAGAGAGGCAGATTTTGAAATGAGAGGATCTGAAAAGCAAAACAAAGGAACAAGCTTTATAAACCACAAATAAAAGGAGACCAGCTGATTTGCCCAGGAAAAGCCTCAATGGCAAACACATTTAGGAGGAGGAGGAGGAAGAGAAGGAGGAGGAGATTGGATTTATACCCCCCCCCCTTCACTCAGAGTCTCAGAGCGGCTTACAAACTCCTTTTCTTTCCCTTCCCCATAACAGACACCCTGTGAGGTAGGGCCCAGGCACATCAGAAAATTAGTTTCCAAGGAAGAAGGGTGAAAAGTACTGGGTTCGCCGCAGGGAGGACTTGGATGAATTGAGTTGCACACGTTTATTGTACTTAACATGAGACTGACTAACGGCCCGACAAGGCCAACTATATACATACCCACCTAGCACTCTCTAGTCCCATTGGAGGGTTTGAATTTCCCACCAAAGTGGCTATTGGTTGGTGCTGGGGGAACTAGGATCCTATACTCCTATTGTTCAAGGGAGCCAAGCTCCTGCCTGTGCTGCGGACCCCTAGTGGTGGTCCGTGTACATAACAAAGGGGACAATTTTAATTCCTGTGCATCAGAAAATATGAATGGTGCTACCTCCACACCTACCCCAAAGTTGGTAGAATAGCATAATATGCTAAATAACGGACAGTATGCTGCCTTCAATGAAATTTCCAAAATTTGTCTTGTGAGGGAGGCTGTCTCATCTTGGCCAAGGTTTTTGCTACTCCCGCCCCCCAAACATTATTTATTTATTTATTCAACTTGTAGACCACCTTCCCCTGCAAGCAGGGCTCAGGACAGTGAACAACATTTTAGTAAACACACAAGTCAAGTTGAAAACAATTTAAACAGTAAAACAATTCAATGCAATTCCAGTTACAATTTCAGATGGCACTAAGAAACCAATGTATATCCTAACCCCATGAGGGGAGAGGAAAGAAGAAAAGAGCCAGGCTTGATGGGAAAACCATTGCAGTCCTCAACTGTGGGCCTGGCAGAACATCTCCTTTTTTACAGGTCCCGCAGGGCACGGACGTCATTGGGCAGAGAATTCCACCAGGTCAGTGCCAGGGCCGAAAAAGCCCTGGCTCTGGCTGAGGACAGCTGGATATCTTTCAGGCCAGGGATCACCAAAATATTCTTCTCCCCAGAGCGTAATGCTCTTTGGAGGGTATTACAGACATACACAGGAGAATCATCTTTTATCTACCACACCTCAAATTCCATAAAGCAAACCCTGCTCCGCCTATCTAAGTCCCATTAAATCCAGGGCCTAAAATGCACAAAAGAGCACTAATCAAGAGAGAGAAAGAGAGGCAGGAGATGCACGTACCGCTGTCAGCCAGATAATGCATCCGGGGAGCTGTAGGGAAAAAAAAAAGAAGGAAGTCAGGCAAATGTGTGGGACATCTTGCTTTTCACAGAAGCGCAGGTCTGAATGCATTTTTGTGGCTGGCTCACACAAGGTTTGCACAATTATGGCCCCGTTCATACGAGCCCATTTGGGCCGGGAGCGGGACGGAACTGGGGCGGAGCAAACAGGCGCGATCTCACCTCAACATCTGGCGAGCGTGCCGTCTCCGTCCCTGATCCGGCCCAACCGCCCATACTGCGCCGCAAAATACAACCACCTCTCTAGGTGGCTGCATCCATTGCCGCGGCTCAGGACGGGACTTTTCCTCCCCGGCATCTGATCATGCCGGGGAGTGATGCGCCGCGGCTAGGGGATCCGTGGGATCCCGCCGCGGCGTCGCAAGTTTGGAGCGGCTCTGCGTAGCCGCGTTTCAGCCGGCCCGTATGCCCGGGGCCTGTGTACATGAATATTCAACCTCATGGAGAAAGGTAAGCACAAATGGAGGCCACAGCAGCAAGAAAAAGTGCCACCCTAATTTGGAAAAGGCAGCTAGCCGTCACCATGTATTGCTTAGAACCAGGGGTCATTTCGTAGAAAAAGAGCTAGGGGGACTCATTAGCATAGCTCATTAGCATATGCCACACACCCTGACATCACCGGAAGTGTGTCCTCCCCACAGCCGGCGGCGACCTCCAGCAGGCACCAGCAGGGAGCTCCAGGCCCCGCCCTCCCGCACCTCACCCGGGGGGATGGCGTCCCCCCGCGTCCCCCCCCCAAAATGACCCCTGCTTAGAACAATGATGACGGTCTTGCACCATCCACTGTTCATGACTATGAAGGAAATAAGGACTGCTTGACTGGAGAAGGGGAGATAAGAACTGCTTAACGTTTCTACTCAGAATCTCCTTTCAAAGTACCAGTATTTTCCCCACCATAGGGATAAAAGAAACAAAGGATGTAATTTTGAATGGGGAAGAAGTATCGAGGAGAAAGGGTTAAACAGCCCCCCCCCCCAATGTTCTCAAACATTCAGCCTCCTGAGGGTGCTTTTGTGTGTGTACGGACAGCTGCAGACAGCTGCATCATCATTCAAATGGAGAATAAAATTGGCTGCTGAGGTGCCAATGGACCCATCTAGTGGCCAGCTGTTATGACTGCAGAAGCACATCTGCAGTTTAAGTTGCCCCTCCCCCTACTCCCTCTGTATGAGGGAAAAAATGGCTCTGGGATAGTGTGGTAGTCCATCAAAGATTAATGAGAGACTCCTTCAGGCTCAGGCTGGTTGGGTGCCCCAGGGAATTCTATAGCGTGAGTGTGTACGTGGGTGAGAGAAGGTGTATGTGCTCAGCCTGGAATGGATACAGAGAGGTAGGCGCGCACACACACACACACACACACAGCAGCTTATGCAGACAGCCAAATAAACTCATGTATTTTTGTATGTATGATTCTTGTATTATTACATTGTCCAAAGCCATATCTAGAAACTGAAACACTAGGTGGCAGCACATCTAACGTTCTTGCAGCTCCTTGAAATGCTGGAAATGAGCATGCATGTGTACACACACACACACACACACACACAAAAGCCTTTCATTTTGCTTGGTACAACTCATCTGACTCACAAAAATGACAAAGAATCCTTCCAGATACCCACATCTACCAGCTGAATATAATATAGCGAAAATCCATTTTTCTCCGACCCAGCCTGACCTTCTCAAGCTTTATTGAGAGTCCCCACTTGTAAGATCTTTCTGTCTTTCCATGTAAAATCTTGATGAGGCTAGTTTGACCAGGCAAGGGAATACTGGTGAAAGCATGTTAAAGACTAGGTGGTTAAGAACATAAGAGACGCCAATGTTGGATCAGGCCAAAGGCCCATCCCATCCAACACTCTGTGTCACACAGTGGCCAGAAATACCAGTGCCATCAGGAGGTCCACCAGTGGGGCCAGGACATTAGAAGCCCTCCCACTGTTGACCCCCCCCCCCAAGCACCAAGAAGACCGAGCATCACTTGCCCCAGCGCCCCTATCTATACCTTGTGGTATAGTCTTGGGTCCACTATCTGAGGAAAAGTGGTATTTAAATTTTTAATCAATATCTTAATCAATCCACTGTATGAATGTCATAGCCATTCTGTAGACATTGCAATTTGCCTTAGATAATTTACTGTTTGCATTGTCCTCTAATTATGTAATCCTAGTCCTATTGCAATTGTTCAGTGGTATTGTCTGATTGCACCGTTTTATATCCTATAATCTGCCTTGAGTCCCAGCAAGAAAGGTGGACTATAAATTAAGTCAACATACAAACAAACAAAAAATACAGAGTAGACATTGTGGTTCGGACATGCACAGCTGATTCCTTAAAAAACCTGAGGGCACGCCACTACTGGTGATTATTAATTTCTTCCTGTTCACTCCAATTTTGCCTCCATCCATTTCACAATCCCTGATTACTAATGTTGTAGTACATCCTGCCCCCCAATGAAATCAGTTGGTTCTTTCTAGCTGTACTGGTAATTGAAATGCTGCGTTTTCCAGGATCCTGTTTCAGAAAATGGTTTGGGAATATTCGGCCTTGGCTGCAATACCTACAGGCAGCGTTATCTCCACACTATAGTGACTGATAGCCAATGCCCATGAAAAAGCAACCTTTATGTGTTCTTAGTAGAAGCCAGCCTTCTGCAGGCATGCAAGGGGTATATAAAATTTTCACTGTTGCTTACAGCCATTTAGGGAGCTCTCATAGCCAGTGGTGTGAAGAGCTTCCCTACTGCCAGTTGAGCTGCGGGGTGGTGTCCAAGGGTCTGCATAGGAATTGGATCGTGCCTTCATTTCTTCCTTCAGTATCAACCTGCCAATGCCAGTCTGGAGCTACATACCAAAAAGTATTACAAGAAGAAATATGATTAACACAAATAATGAATATGTGGGCCCTTATCCCCCCCCCACAAATTTAGATTCCGCTGGTGATCTCATATAATATTTCCCCAACATTGGACTCCTCCTTCACAGTGGAAGACAATACCTAAAGATACAGAAAACAGCCAAAGGCCCAGGATGGCATGTTCTCTTATAAGGTTCCTTCTTGAGTCTGTTAGCATCAGCTAGCACAGTGTGGGTTTAGCTGGTATCCTTTAAAGTTCCCCACCCATCAAAGTGGGAAAGAGCTCTTGGAAAGCTACCTGAGGAAGCTCAAACAATACTTCCAAGTCCAGAATACAGTACAGCAAAGGAGAAAGAAAGAAGACTGGCACTCACTTTGTGCATCCCTCGATCAAACCCATCTTCTTCTCCTCCTGAGGAGAATCTTCGAACTCGTGGTGCTACAAGGAAAGGTGGCCAAGGACAATCAGGTCAGAGAAATCACTTGGACAGCATCAAACAACACCCACAGAAATCTGTGGCATTAACTAGAGATAGGGCCAAAGGTGGACATGCACTTCTGTATTCCAGATTGACCCTTCTGGTCTCAGTTTGGTCAGGCAGTGGTTCGTTCTTTTCAACTCTCAGAGTGATGGAGTATTAGGAACCATAGCTGGGAACTCAAAAGCATGAAACGCACTATCTGTAGAGAAGCAAGTGCTTTCTGACTTTTCAAGGGCTGTCTAGAAGAGGGAGTTCAGCCAGTGTAGCCTTCCCCAAACCTACCAGGCAAGCTATAGGGCTGACTCCCCCTCTTTTATACAACCTTCAAAGATACAGCAGGAACCTAGATCTATTTTGCATGTAGCACAGCCAGTTGCCTCCAGTACAAGATGTTCCCAGCTTGCTGTTATTGGCCTTGGCTACATCTCAGCCTGTGTGGGTGTGGAAAGGGGTGGGGGTTAATGTTATGGAATGAAGGTTACCTTTGGGTGACCCTTGGAAAGTCCAGTACTCAGTCTCTGAGTGGTAATATGGATCCGGAGAATAGGCTGGGCTGTATTTGGAGGACTGGGCAATATCCTCGCTGGTTTTACTTTTTGTAGCTGCAGATTGGTTATCTACAAAGACAACATAGGGAAAAAAAGAAAGGAAACTCCAGTTATTTAAAAGATTCTTGCTAAAACAACATGATGTAAAAAGTAGGGAAAGTGTCAAATTTTCAGTGCAGAAGTGGCATGTGGGTGCACCACCACAAGACTGTCATGCTAAAAATTGGGCCCCTACCTACCCCTGCCTTGTATATGATTGGGAAATACCAAGGCAAATGGGTCTAATTTGAACTTCTGTTCTAGCCTATCCAGTAACAAGTCCTTTTCCTCAAAGAAAATTTACCACAGAGCCAAACAGGCACAGTGATGATAACTGACAGCCTGGACTAATGCAGACATGTAATCTTCCACTTGCCGGTGGTGAGTAGCACTTCTCTTCGGTGAACAGATGAGTAGCTGCACCTCACCTATCTGCTTGCACTGACTCTTCACCCTGACAATCTGTCCTGGTCATTTAAAGCCAGGTCGAGAATTGCCCCTACAACAGATTCCAAGCCTGAAACACAGTGTCGTTTTATGTCGGCTACCAGCATAAATTCATTCTTTACATCAAAGGGGAGGCAGAGAGCAAATGGAACAGGCTACTTGGACAGTGCAGAACTGGCAGGTAGCTGGTAGGGACAGGAAGAACAGCAAAGGGATGAGGAGAAAAGGGCAACCGGAGCAGGCTGGAGAGCACCTTCTGAAGGACTGCTTGCAAGGCTTAGATCATAAGCAGCCCATGTCTGACAGGTCAATTCCCATCTTGCTTTCCCAGTGCATAGCTGCAGATTAAGAAATACCTGAGATTTAACCTCAGATGTCATCTCTCGGACCTCTTCTCTCTGCATATTCATCTTCTAAGGCCTGGACTACATGTGCAGCAGTATGAGCTTTGGGCCGTTCTACTTCAGGTTGCCGATCGGGGGAGACTGGCTTTGTAAGGCTGTCATGTGCCCCCCACAGGCCGTCAGGCAAAGATAACCTCTGGCCCCATCCAGACCCAACTCAAATGTCATATAAAAAAAATCACACCACTTGCCCATCTCCATGCATCTCCAGGGTGACCAGGGTCCTCAGAGTTTTGTTTCCCAACTTCAAAATGGGAAACTGGCTACTAGAGGGCCAGTTTGGTGTAGTGGTTAGGAGTGCAGACTCTAATCTGGGAGGACCAGGTTTGATTCCCCACTCCTCCACAGGCAGCTGCTAGCATGACCTTGGGTCAGTCATAAGCTTTTTCGGAGCTGTTCTCTCATGAGCAGTTCCCGAGAAAGCTCTCTCAGCCCCACCTACTCACAGGGTGTCTGTCATGGAGAGGAGAAGGGAAAGGGGATTGTAAGCCACGGCTGAGACTCCTTCAGGTAGTAAAGGGCGGGGTATAAATCCAATCTCTTCTCTTTTTTTTCCTACTAGATCAGGGCCTATAGCCTTGTTTTCCCACCAAAACTGCTGAATATGTACTCATCTAAGGCACAGTTACATTCCAGTCCAGTAGCACCTTAGAGACCAACAAGATTTTCAGTGAATGAGCTTTCAAGAGTCAAAGCTCCTTCTGTCAGATCTCAGGCATAGTGGCCTTCCATCTCTCTTCTACCCAGACTCCACATGAGGGGTGGGACCGCAATTGCAAAAATGAAGCAACAGATCAAAAGTTTGCTCCAGGGCCCAAGGGGCAAGGCCCCAAATGGTGGTTCTAGTAAAAAAAAAAAAAAAAAGAGCTGTAGGATATACCTGAAAGGGGTATCATTAGAGCATGGCTCGGCATGGGGACCAGGGGTGTATTGCACAGAATAGACACAGTCACGTTGCACAGACTAGACTAAGAAAAAAACACAAGCCTCAGATCCTCTCTGTGCCCCAATTTCATTCTTTTGGGAAGCTGCCCCCAATGGTGAAGAAAAACAGTTGTCGTTAGGAAGAGTTGGAGGTTATATGGTGAAAGTATTATCAGCTGTGGTATAAACATTCATCATGGTATTGTCTCTACTTCAACAAGTACTGCAAGTTTTTGTGGTGCTTTCAAAACCTTACAAAACCTGTTGGATCTGAGATAACAACAGGGCAAAAAGGAAAGCATATGTGTTTTGGATAATGATGACTTAATCAAACCAGATGGTATCTAGCCACTTGTTTTCTGTTAGGGGAAAAGCTTACAACTGGTGCTGGAGGAGGCAATTTTTTTGCCAATTCTCCCTCCCACTGCAGACCCCCATACTACTTCCATGCTGTTTGTAATGTTTCCTGACTCTCAGGAGCAGTACCTTGCAGGGCTCAGGGCCACAGTAGATGCTTGCTTTTTTAAAGAGTTGGTTTGGGGTAAGGATGTGTGCACAGATACATCTGGTCCAAAAATATACCTGAAAAATTACTGGGACCAGCGGGTTTTTGTGTGTGAGTGTTTTTTTTGCAAGTTTTCTGGAAAACAGGAAGGAGGGAGGAGCTTGCCAGGTTAGTTCTACTGGGATTCTCTGATTTGACACTGTTTCTGCTGGGCTTGCTTGGCTTCTGTGGTTTTTGACATTGGTTCTGTTGGGCTTGCAACAGTGCTCCCCCTTGCTTAAGTTGGTTTGACTTTGATTTTTAGTTTGACATTGGTCCTGTTGGACTTGCCACACTGGCCTGTGGTTCTGCTGAGATGTTGGTTCTGTTGGGCTTGTTGGTTCTGCTTGCACTGGCCTTTTGGCTTGATTTTGTATGTTCGGCTATTCTTTGCTCTACAGGAAACAATGGAGGATGGCTGGGGCCACTTTGTTCAGGGACTCCAATTCACTTGAAACCTTGGGGTCTTTAAGGGACAGGCAGCACTACCTACTACAGTTTCGGTGTCATTTGCTTGAAAAACAGCCCTTACAGCCCTGCAGAAAATTCCCCATGGGAAACATTGGACTCAGATAATTTTGGAATCCTGGAAAAAACCCAAATCCAGTTACCAAACTGATATTTGGGATCCAAATAACCCAGAATATCAATAATTACACCCTTCCCAATATCTGGATCCAAAAAATACCTCCCCCCACCCTGGGTTCCCTGCAGCCACACAGCGGCTACTGGAAATAGCTATTAAAATGCTGCCACTGTGGGGGAAGGGCTTCCTGCTCCTCCCAGCCACCAAAACAGCAATGGGCGGCCGGGGGTGGGGGAGGTAGTTATTTCCCCATTTTTGCAGCTTCACATGGAGTATTCTATGCACACAGAGCAGCAAAAACAAGGAAGTAACTCCCAGACTCTACTCAAAGCAAATGCCTGGTTGGGCTGTCAGTGGGCTGCAGTGGGAGGCACCAGGAAAGCCTCAAACTATGTTCACAAATTGCTTGATACAATCTACCATCTTCAGGTTTCTTAAGAACCATTGTCTGTCTAAAGCCTGTCTGACATTGGTACAGAAAAGAAAATGATGGACACGTACACAAAAAATCCTTCATAATAATCTAGAGAAACAATCACTCCTCGGTTCTGGATTCAGCATAACTTGATCACCTATCTCTGCACACACAAAGTGATACATTTGGACTGTGGATTAATTAATCTGGAAATATTCTCATTCCTGGGGGCCCAAATAAATGAGACATTGAATTCATGACTGGAGCTCCCTTCTCTTGAAAAGTCGAGAGGGGATAATTTACATTGGTTTGGGGCAGGTTTTTAAACCATCTCCCCACTATGATTATATCCCTGTAAAAATGCCCCCTCTAGCGCTATTTGCCCTGTTAGGGAAAACATCCCTGTCTGAGTAAATAGAAGGTTAGGACATTTTCATCAGGAAAACAGCTTAGGGATTCCTGATCCAAATCACTGTGCCCCCCTCCCCCATACCATGGCTGCTATCAATGGCAACTTAAAGAAATGGGAGGTCTGATCACAGACCTGCAATACCTTCTCTAATTCAGCCTGGTTCCAGGGCATTAAATGATAACTGGTTTTATTTTAAAAAATGTGTGCCCCTAAATAAGCCTTGAATGGACAGATCTTCTGATTGTGTGCACAACGGGGTATTCATACAGCCTTTAGGGATGAATAATCTGTATTACATAATTTTAAGTAAGTGTTTTTATACATTTTCAGAGAAAGCTATTTTGTGTCCTAAATTAAGAAGTTATAGTGGAAAAAACCCCAACCTCCCCCCACTTTTACTCTTGTCCAACGGTACAAAATGGGTTTCTCTCAGAAGATTATTTCATGAAGACGGTGAAAGCACATGCCCCCTCCCCATATAGAATAGCAATACCCAGGTAATATTATTGACACTCATGTTGCCCAAACCAGTCCCAAGGTTTTATGGGGGAAGTCAGAGCAGTTCTCAGAAACATACGCAGGATTGATACAAATGAGAGCGGCAAAGGTAGCTACTTACAGTGCAATGGGGTGCAGACAGTCAGCAGGGCAAGGTGTTAGGCAGACAGGGGAAGGAGGGAAGGAAAGAGAGGAGACACAGTTACCACAATAAAGGGGAAACCACACCACCTCTAAAACAAAAAGAACAGGTTGGTGAGCACATAAGTCCTTTCTCCTCATAGCTAGGGCCTGCCCAGCAGAGGGCACTCTTCCATCTTCTATGACCTTGGAGCCTCATTCCCCCACCACAGACTAAGGAGAATTGCTTCCATAGGTCTCTTTCCGTGAGTGCACTTCATCTGTCTTGAAGAAGTCCATCCCTGCCCCGCCTACAGTTCCCGCTCTTCCCAAGTTTTGATCAGCTATACGGTTGGCTTCTGACAGTGTCTACAGTGTCACTTGATGAGTTAGATCAGATGCTGTGATGGGCTGGTGTCTAAGGTTCTCAAGGGGATAGTGAGCAGTTATAACTTAAGTGACACCTTACTTGTTTCTTTATCGCTTATGCTTTCGTTGAGCAACTACGAACTAACATTTCCTTGGAGTTGACTTCCATGAAATATTTATGTGCTTAAAAAGGCAGCAAACCTAGGCATATACTGATGCATACACTGACTTGGAATGTAAGCCCCTTTGAGCAACCCACTTCAAAGTAAACTTGCACAGAATGCCCATTAAACTTTGGCTGAGTGCTCTTGTAGACATGGTTCCTCTAGAATGATGGCTCTCAGTGGGGATCAGCTTCTCTAAGCTTGTACAGGCAGGTGACATTTTCTTGATGCACCCTCCTCTTTGGCCCAGAAGCTGGACACCATGTGGGCTGTGCTACCTCTTCTTTTGATATATTGATTGCTGCTCAGGGGGGGGGATATTGGGACAATCCATATGTGTTTACTGACTTTTCCCTGAGTTCCTGTGTTAGGACTCTTTACACAGGACTTGCAATGCTGTGAAGCCACTTCCATTCCATGGTAACATTTAAGGGCCTGCAACAAAGTGTGCGAGTCTGATTATGGACCTCTAAACATTGTATGAGATGCACCAAAACTATGAAATTACAGCCACAGAGAAGTGGCTCCCATGGCACTGATTCACCATCTAAAAGGCATATTAATCCACAGGCCACTTAGAATGGCCAGCTAACCATCTCATTGGCACTTTGTTATATCTGAGGAAGCCCATGCAAGGTCTTTAGAGTAAAGAAGGTTCCTACACTAGGATGACCCACAATGATGGTTCCGCCACATTCAGTCTTTTTTTGCTGCATCTTTCTTACCCATACCTCTGAGGCCAGAAATTCCTCAGAACTACTCTCCCCTTCTTTCCAGAGTATATGATGTCCATGTCTAGCATTGACACCAACTTCCTGTAGAAGCTCATGGAGACATTCATTGCATAGTAATGTTGCTAAAGCAGAACTGGACTTTATTATGTGTGTCCAAATACATGCCAAAGCCATGCCCAAACTGTACCGTGTCTTTTATAGATGGGGGGTTTCCGGTAGATGTTACTCTCTGCGGCAGCTGGAGGCAAAAAGAAAGATAATGAAGGGAAGGAGACAGAAAAAAGAGAAATGGAGAAGGAGCCAGTGTATGAATGAGGCAAGTCACAGGAGCCACCATGTTTGCAGGTAAGGGTGCCTACCCGTGATCAAATCCATCTGCTCATTCCATTACGTATCCTCCCCCCTTCCACAGCTCTGTGGAATAAAATGAGACAGCCTAATTATAGGTATCTAAAGAGCAGAGAAAGCTTGGGAGCTGGTTTGATGGGGAAAGTAGGAATCAATTCCATTTGGAGTGATGTGTGTCATAGACAGCCATAAGACAAAGAATGTGTGCGTGCGCAAGAGGTCATGCTGTGAGCATGCTTGCCATTAACAGTGTGCAGGATCAGGCAGACTTTTCTCCTTTGGACACACTTGGTGGCTTGCCTTAGTTCAGGAGTAGGAAGATTCAGGTGGCGCTAGCAGCCACCGTCTTCCTGTCTGCCAGTGGCCTTGGATGATCTGTGAGCTGGTTTTCCAGAGATATGGGTACAATCCCCCCCCCCAATCTTTGCCAAAGAGCAAGCAAGTCAGCCAGAGTTTCTTCAGACAAGAGAGAAGCAAAGCAAGCTGGGAACAGGAGCTATCCAATCAGTGCAAAGGCTTATTGATAGGTTGGACTGGTGGAGCACACCAAGGGCCATCCATAAAAGACATCAGCAGAAGCTACTGGGACACGAGTAATCTGAACACCATTTCTGGTGGTAACAGGAGGGTATATGCCAGGGAGAATTCCAGAAAATACAGGCCACTTCAGGCAACACAAGAGCAGTTCCTGCTAGACAGAATAAATGGAGGCTAAAGGGCACTCTGTAACTCCTGGTCCACTTCATTCCGTCTTTTATTCATCTGGAGAACAGGTATTAAGATTCCTGCAGTGGGGTCTAGATGTGCCTAATCTAAGGGTGCTAGCTTGGTTCACTACTGAAACGGATGACTGGCACATGAAATCTGGATTTCTGAAAACCAAAGAATGGAGGGAAGTCCCCACACATAGGGCCTGTCATCTGATGTCAGACATAATGGAGATGTATGTGCCCCTAACTGAATCCTAAGGGATCTGTGCTTCTCTTCTAAGACTGTCTGAGATCAATATCTTGGAGCTGTTTCCAGTTTTCATTTCACACATCTGGGCACATGTCAAAAAGACCTGGAAGGGATCCAGGTTTGACGTGGCCTGGTTTGAGGCTGAAGGATTGAGGGAGCTGATGCTGCCAGGCATTTAGGCAGGTGTGGGCCTCACCTGCTTTGAGTAATGAAAGATTCTAGATTTACTTTGCAAACAAAGTTGATTTGCCAGCAGGCAGGCGGGGAGGGCATACGTGTATCTACTTGCATAATGACAAGGGACAACTGTCAATTTCCCTCCCTCCTTGCAGATGGGGTGGGGCAGTTGCCCTTACCTGGTGGCCCCTGGAGTCTCTGGTGGAGGGGAGCAGCCATCTGGCAAGCCCAGAGAGATCTGGGGGAAGGGTACAGCGGGCCCTGAGGGGAGCAGGAGGAGTATAAGATAAATTATCTTTCACAGATGGGTGTAGAAAAGCTCCTAGCTGACAGACAAGCTTTGCCTTGTGGTCCTTGAGGGGACAGAAAGGGAGGAAGGGAACAGGGTGGGTCCATTTTTGTATAGGAGAAAGAAGCTGCAGTGGAAGGTGCAATCAGACTTTGAAGGATGTGAGGTTAAGGCTGCAGATCTGGTTTATGGATGGCCTCTACCATGAGAATGCATCTTGCTATTGCTAGTGGACTCTAGAATGGCAATAGCACTAGTCATGCAATACACATATCTGGCACATGCATACATACATGCATGCATGCATGAAAACAAAAGACACACTGCTCCTTCACAGGCTGGCCAAAGGCCTCCAGAGCCTACCTGGAATGTGGAAATGTCTAGGAGCCTGGTATGAGGTTGGTGTGGAAGACCTCACATCTAACTGGCTATAGTAGGGGGAACTGCGTCCACTCTCTGTTCCTTGATAGAGCAGATTTGAGGGAGGAGCAGCAGCAGGAGAGAGAGAGAGAGAGAGAGAGAGAGAGAGAGGCAGAGGAAAACTGGTGTTAAAAGCAGCCATGTTAGAAGAGTAGCAAGCCACTTGTGAATCGATGATAGGGATGCATGGATGGAGGGGTGGTAGGGGCTCCTACACACCATAGTGAGGGAGAAGTGTTGGGTTCACAGACAAACAGGAAATTTTCCACAAGTGTGTGTCATCAGTGATGGTTCTAAACCCATTCCAGGGATATCAAATTCCATGTCAGGATTTAGCTTCCAGAATTGACCCTGGTGGTGGCAGAGGTCAGTACCAAGTGTTATCACATTCTTCATTTTGGCATAGGGTGAGGTTCCAGTAAGCAAATATCCTAGAGGAGACCCAGGGAAATTCAGCTGGATGTGTATTTCTTCCCTGCTCTGCCAGCTCCCTAGTACATTATGTCAAAATTCATTGCTGGATCATGTTCATGCTGAAGAATTACTACCCTGCCCCTCTGTTTATGCACATGAATCCTTCCCACATCATCAGGTCCTTTCAATTTCACCTTTGGCATGGAGTCACTATTATTTGACTTGCCACAGGAAAGAAAACAATACTATATACGAAGCCCCAGTCAGTAATAAACTTCCTCTGTCTTGGGGACAGATTAGTTCTATAAGGCAGTCATGATGCAGTCAGCCTTTTGACTATCTCTCTGCCAAGAAATGGTCTCATCCAACATAGGAAGCTGTACATGATTTTTACTCTCCCTTTTCCAAAAAGACTTTGCAGTGTTAAGTCTTATGAGAATGGGAATATATTCTGGCTCTGAATGTGCCCCAGACAGAAGTTCAAATGTCCAGACGATGCTGCCGTACTGGTTTGTGTTTGGCCTCCTCTGTACTCAGCTCTGTCCTCAGCTCATTTATTCTTACCTGAGCGGTAATAATGATGTGGCGAGCGTGGGATGGTGGGTGACATGCCTTGGCGGCTGTAGGTGGGGGAATCAATGTAGCCTGGGCTTGAGGCTCGCCTCTGCCTGATATCCATGCTGTCATAAATGTCCTGGACAATCAAAAGAAGATTGATAGAAGACTCAACCCCTAGGGAAGTGTGCCCACAGGCCCATGACATAAATTCCAGTTCTCTTACTTTTTACTCCATTCTGGGAGTCAGTTGCCCAGCTGATGTGATGACATTACATTTACAATTGGCTTACTCCTTCAACTTAATATAGCTTGTGGCCACCTCCACATCCTAATTCCAAGGTCTAGAGCAACACAGTTCAAGCCCTTCACCACTGGGATCTTCCTGGCCCATCTGTCAGCAAATGTTTCTTCAAGTTCTCACTCTATGAGGCCTAGTCATACAAACCCTCATATTAGTTTGGAAAGCCATTGGATTACCTGAGAATATGGAGACAAAGTTCCAAGAGACTGGAAGTGACAGGAGGCCAGAGACCAGGCATGAGGGTGTGAAGAGTGAGAAGGAAAAAAGAAAAAGAAAAAACAATTACAAGATCATATGACTGCTCAGGGCCACATCAGAGTTCATCTCTTCTCCCATCCCTTTATTATTGTCCATTTAGCAAAATGACAACCTTATAAGAACTGTCAGAATATGGAGGAAAACCTGGGAGAAAGACTCAAGTAACCATGAAAAAAAGAGCACAGCTGGCTACATTTTCCTCTTCAGATGTTGTGAGAAAACACAGCCAAAATAGCTCTCATTCCCTCAAACGGATACACTTTTGCATAATGAGGGGGGAGGCTCAGTGGGAGAGCATCTGCTTGGCATGCAGAAGGTCCCAGGTTCAATCCCTGGCATCTCCAGTTTAAAGAATGAAGTAGTAGGTGATGTGAAAGACCTCTACCAGAGACCCTGGAAGCTGCTGCCAGTCTGAATAGACAATATTGATTGTGATGGACCAAAGGTCTGATTCAGTATAAGGCAGCTTCATGTGTCCATAGTCTATCACCATCTCCTACAATAAACAGCCAGCACAACCCAAGTCTCTTCCTTCCCCCCCTTCCACTGCCCTCAACAAGTCTGTTTTAAGAAAAGTGTGTGGTGACAATATGTGCAAACACACAGCTCCAATACAAGCTAACGGTAGATGCCAACGCCCAATTCTACAGTACTTCAGATATTACATTAGGTTCCAGGGTATTCCACATTTAGGCCTAAGTGCGACACACAAATCTGGTAGACCAGACAGCGTACCACAGATTCCGTTGGTTAAAACTTATATCTGATCCTTCAGACATGATGAAGGTTTTCAGCTAGCTTCCTCTGTCCTTTCTAGCCATGATTTTATGCTGTCATTAGGGAATATTAATCTCTGAAGTAGTACTGCCTAGGGTTGCCATCCCCCCCCCGATGGGGACAGCCCCCCCGCTTTTGAGGGCCCCAATCTGCAGCTGGCTGGTGGAGGAAGCCCCGCCCCCGAAGAGCCCCATCACGCCCAACATAATGATGTCACCTGGAGGTGATGCCATCACGCCAAGCAGGTCACGCAGGGGATGCTCTAGTGTTTGGCTAAAAACTCTATGGTGACTATAGAGCTTTGGCCAAATGCTAGAGCGTCCCCTGCATGATGTGCCTGGTGCGATAACGTAACTTCTGGTTGATGTCATTGCACGCATGCCAGAAAACCCAGGAACCCTGGCTGGACTCCCCACTGTCAGCCAGGTAAGACCTGGCAACCCTAGTCCTGGCTAAGGTCACAGATGTCTCTCAAGTTTTCTACTTTTCTAGAAACACAAAGGATGTTTCAAACATACATACATTCAAAGAAAAAAACAGGTGAGCTTTCTAGTATCACAGAAACAGAAAGTGAAGCTAGAAAGTGCCATTTATTTTTGCCAAGACCACTTCTGCATACTTCTGGCTGCACAAAATACTCCTTCTGACCTGGCTGTAGTGCATTCAGTGTAGGCTGTAAGTATGGAACAATGTTAATTCAATGTAAGTGAGATGCACCAGTCCTGAGTTGATATGCATGTGCTGATGCAACATCATTGCATTGCAGCATGGGATTTGCTTGAACAAGGACAGAAATGGAATGTATGAAGTATGCAAGGAGAGGGGAATCAGATCAAGACTAACCTTGCTCACCTATCTATACCAGCTTCCCTTTCTGCCTGCCACTTGTGCTCCTATGCCTAGCAGGTAGCCTGGTGTGGCCAAACTCAAAGTTTTTCTCACAGATCTGTGTGGAAAGCTGTATTTGCCAAATTGTCTCTTCTGTACAACTATTTGAGGTACATGAGCCCCATTTCCCTTGCAGCTGGACACCCTAATGTTGCCCAATGAGATATCTGTTATAGTATCACCAAGCCTGTTACCTTCCTAGGAGGCCCTCCTATCCTGGCAAGGCATCCCCTGCCCTATTAACATGTTTTAAAACTCATACTGCAGCTGGAAAAGATGGAACATGGACCAATCACTAAGTAAGGGATATGGCCAGGAATATAAGGAACCAGTTGTTGGTCTCGACTAAAAAGATCACAAACAGTTCTTCTGCTGGCCAGAATCAGGGCTGCCCTGGCCCCTCATCTGAACACCAGTGGGACACGTCAAACAGAGTCAAGAAACTCAAAACAGAACAGCCTTGGAGAAGGGCAAAGGAGCACATGTGAAAGGGATCTAGGTGTTCTGGTTGATCACAAGCTAAACATGAGCCTGCAGTGTGATGTGGCTGTGAAGAAAGCAAATGCTATCTTAGGATGCATTAACAGAAGCATTGTGTTCAGATCATGGGAGGTGGTAATTCCGCTCTATTCTGCTATGGTCAGGCCCCACCTGGAGTACTGTGTCCAGTTTGGGGCACCACATTTTAGAAAGGATGTTGACAAGCTCGAGCGTGTCCAGAAGAGAGCAACCAGGATGGTGAGAGGGTTGGAATCGAAGTCTTATGAGGAAAGGCTGAAATGTTTAGCCTGGGAAAGAGAAGGCTTAGTGGGGACATGATTGCAGTGTTCAAGTATTTGAAGGGTTGTCATGTAGAAGATGGAGCAGATCTATTCTCTCTTGCTCCGGATTGCAAGACTAGGTCTAATGGATGGAAATTACAAGGGAGTTGTTACCGGCTAAATATCAGGAGAAACTTCCTAACTGTAAGAGTGGTTGAGCAGTGGAACAGTTTGCCTCGGGAGGTGGTGGATGCTCCTTCACTGGACGTTTTCAAGCGGAGGCTGGATGACCATCTTTCGGGTATGTTGTAGGTATGTAGGGCTATCTTTCAGTATACTCCTGCAGAGTGTAGGGGGTTGGACTAGATGACCTGCAAGGTCCCTTCCAACTCTAACATTATATGTTTCTATGAGCTATAGTTCAGAACCTAAAAAGGTTAGTCAGGAATAGAAGAGGACCAACTCTAAAAATCTAATTATGAAACATACAAAAATATACATTTATTGAACACAGATTAAAATAACAAATAAGGGCCCATTCATACCTCGCTTTCCGTCTGTGTGCTTATCTGTAACACCAGTTGTCTCACTCTGCTCCAACCCCCACCCACCCCCCTTCTAGTCTCAGGTTTGATTTTTTTCTGCACACACAAAGGGTCTTTGAATTTATTTTTATACAAAGCCTTTCATTTTTACTGAACACTCCTTTTACATTTCATGAAAAAAAGTCCAGCAGCACCTTAAAAAAACTAGCATAGCTACTCATCTTGTACATACTCACTGCAAACAGCTTGGGCCATTCCATGGCACAGTAGACCCTGCAGCTGCAGACCAGCCACAGAACAGTACCTTCCTTTCCCATTTTAAAGACAAAGCGATGATCTCCCATGTCCTACTTTGCAGGGGTTGGTGTTGGGAGAAAAAAATGGCAAAAAACAGCTCCCCAACCCCTTTTGTTTTATTTCTTGCAGCTATGTATGTGTGCTGCTTTTGGGGGGGGGGGGAAACCTGCGGCTAGCAAACAAAAAGGAAAAGAAAGAGACACCCCACTCCTTCTGTTTTATTTCCTTAAGATCCCCCTGTTCTAAAAAATGTGTGTGTGTGCTGCTTTGGGGGACTCCTGGCAAAGAACGTTTTCCTGCAAAGGAAAGGGGTGAATTTGGATCTTCCAGGCCAGGCCTGGAGTTTCTCCAGGCTACGGCTGGAGATTTCAGGCAAATCACCTGTCTCTCTGTTGATGAGCCTGCCTATCAGTGAAATGACAGCCTGTGAAATTTTCCCGGGCTGGGAAAGAGAGAGCGTTAATTGGTCGCCTTTGAACAGACAGTCTGCGAATGGCTGAATGAGTATGTGGCCCTGCCTCTCTCCTCCCAGCAGGCACTGCACAGGCTCACTCTCTATGCCTATCAGTGAAATGACAGCCTGTGAAATTTTCCCGGGCTGGGAAAGAGAGAGCGTTAATTGGTCGCCTTTGAACAGACAGTCTGCGAATGGCTGAATGAGTGTGTGGCCCTCCCTCCTCCCCCTCCCGGCAGGCTGTGCGCAGCCGCTGTCTCTCTCTCAGTCTCTGACCGGCAGACAGTTTTTGGCTTGTAAAACTCTCAATTGCGTGCTTTTAGGGAGGGCAGGGTTTGGAGGGGGGACTCTGGTAAGTTAAAACTCATGTTTTGAAAGGGTGTGTGTGTGAATCAGCTTTTTTCCTCTTGTTGCTACAACTGCTGGGTGTGTGTGTATGTGGGTGGGTTCAGGGGGGGTTGAACTGAATCTCTCTGCTAAGGGGGGCTGCTTTCTCTGCTTACTTGTCTCTCTCTCTCTCTTCCTGTCGCCTTATCTATTCGTGGCAAGACAGTGTTTTAAAAGCACACTTTTTCCTTTTGGCAGCAAACCCTAGCCTTTTGGGGAACGCTTGCAAACTCCCCCCGCTGCTTGGCTCTGGGGCTTACAGAGGGGTGGGGTGGAGGTCCCCAGGTTCTGTCTGGGTGGGGTGAGTCCTCAGACCCTGGAGGGGAGTCTGCACTAAAACAACGTTAGCACAAGCATGCAAACCCAAGCCTTTTGGCTTACAGAGGGAGGGGGGCAAGGCTGTAAAGAGTAGAACTTTTTAAAAGCACACTTTTTTCCTTTTGCTCTCTGTGAGGCTTGCAAGGGGAGGGAGGGGGGGACTCCAGGATCTGCCTCTCTGCCTGGGGCTTACAGAGGGAGGTGGGGGGCATGCAAGGGGTGGGGGTTGGCCCCTAGGCTCTGTCTGGGTGGGGGCTCCCCAGGATATGTCCAAGAGACCCTGGGGCAGTCTGCAGTAAGGGGCACAAATACACATTCACAGCAAAAAGCCAGCACTCTATTTCACACATGTCCCAGCCCCCCTCCCGGTTTCAAAGCATTCCCCAGTCACAAAACACAATCACAAAAGCCCCCTTTTCACCAAAAAAGATTCAAAACACCCAGGGACTCCATTTTCCCATCCCCCAACCCACGGCCGAGCGCTACACCCTTGGGGGAAAGCCGACACGTGGTCACCGTGCTTCCCAGGGGCTGGTAACGGCCGCCATCTTGCCAACCCCTTGAAGCATGGCCCTCAGGGAAGCGGGATTTCCGGTGGCGGGGAGCACTCATCAAAGTCTGATTTTGACAGAAGGGGCATACCTATTCCTCCTTAATTAACAAGCAGGACAGTTAGCTATTGTTAGAAGATAATCCTGAAAGCCTATAAATATGGAAGTCTGAATTGATTATCAGCTTCTTTTTGGATGAAGCTCTTTGCCTTGTGATCATCCTTACTCTTGGGTAAGATATTTAATGGAGTGATGTAATTGCACTCCTAGATAAATCAATGGGCAGTATTATCATATTTTAAGCTAGTCAGTGTTACAGATGTCAACAGTTACGTTTTAATAAAAGATAAAATGGAAGCAAAGATTCTCCAATAGTATTTACTTGTATTTTATACCCACAATAGTCCAGAGCCTTGTTGGGTGTACCTCTTGCTCAGAGATTACTGATTTGATAGAGGAACACTAACCAGAGGCCTATGGCTTTTCAGGTGCACACCTATATCTGAATCAGGCCTGACATGCATCATCCAGAACAACTGGTTAATATTTCCCTATATGATGTTCCTAGTATTTGTAACAGAGTAATTGATAGATTTCAGTAGATGTCTTTTTGAAACACTGGAATAAAGGAGATAGTATATCTAGCTTATTTATTTTTTTTATGTGATGGTTAATTAATTTCTTGGTTAACACCCGGGGTTGAATCCTGCAATCTATCAGCACAAGACATTGATAGTTGTGGATTTTTCCCATGTCCTCCTCCCTATAGTACTCCTTTCCAAACATGGGAAACTTTATTACTGGGATCATGGTGCCCACATGGAATAATAGCCAGCCACAGTGTTTGGAAGGCTGCAGTGGGGGAAGAGGGTGAAAGCACTCCTTCCTTCCTTCCTTCCTTCCTTCCTTCCTTCCTTCCTTCCTTCCTTCCTTCC